GCTGGTGATTGATTTTTACGGCTAATATGAAGGTTTTCATTGGAAAAGGAGCGTTTTTACTGCTGTCACACGCTCTGCCACGAGGTAGGTTGATACAGGCATCGCTTCTGAGCCAATTTCATAGAGATCACGAGTTTCAGCGAGTTTAAACACTTTGTAAGGGGGTATGCCTCTAAAAATACTCGTTTTTCCGATGAAATGTGGATCGAAAGCGATGCAGTTTCCGAGCTTCTCGGGATTGATTGAAATGGTTTTATCCGCAGATGCACGTTTCAATCAATCCCAGGCCAATGCATTGACCTTCACCACGCATGGCTTACGCTTAGCACACCTTGCCATTTTCGTTCTATACACTTTACATATCGCTTTGGGTGGTCTAATCAATTCTATATTTCATTAACATCGCCGACCAAATGGTTTACATTTGTGAATGGAGTGATATAGTTGGTTTAGCTGGTTTACATGCTTTAATAATCATAAATAGTACTAATTTGTATTTTAGAAGAATTATGTTTATTGTCGATTGATCGAGGTGCATGTGGAGGCCGACAAACCCGTTATGCTTTCAATCGACAGACTGTAAGTTCCATTGCTTCACAACATACTACTGTGTAACGAACTACTGTATCTACAGTACACCTAGATTTCGTAATGATGGACAAGATCAGTGGGTACATTCGCTTCTGCCGTGACGCTTATCTGACCTTTCAGGAATGAGAAGATTGTAATTGTAATTGTAATGATTATCTCTTTGGGATAAGCCGTGTATTTGACTTCCATCAAGATGACAGGGGGATTTTGATAGGTATGAGGACAATAAGAGTAAAGCGTTAACATATCCATAAGTGGTGCTGTCATTAAGAGACAGATCTGTCACAAGTAAGGAAGGTGGAACGGGTTAGCCAGCTTGGGTCGGATACCAGCATCGCTGCTACTTTCCAGTCCCAAAAAGTAAAAAGGAAAAACGAGTATTTGCTCTGTTCTACCCTAGAAACTAAGAGTGGTGGTCGCCAATCGTTTGACTGCGGTCATACTTCGCGATAACGCCTCTCCCACTGTTCCAGCCCCAGTCTCTTCACGTTATGCATTGCCTAATGCTACCGTAGCTGTCGCTCGCTTACTGTGGCCTCAGTTTTGACAGAACAGGCAAAATCAGAAACTGTGTGTCCTAGAAGCAGTAATAAAATCCTTCCAAATTTTGCCCATTCATGTGGATGATTTTTCAGAGCCAGTGTGTCCCGTTCGACTACACAGGCTGTGGAGGAAATCTGAATAATTTCGTCTCAATGATGGACTGTATGGCTACGTGCGGTAACGTCGGTTTCCGACGATGATCGATTCAACTGCTATGATCAACTTCTGACGACAACTCGTACAAAATCGTAGAATCTCTTACAGTTTACAGTAACCAAGTGCCTTACCTAATATAGTGTGTATATGTGCGAGTTGTTCGTTGTCGTTCTGTCGTGATCGTCTATCACTGTCTAACTATTGACCACAAACTTCTAGAACGTGTCTGTATGTATCTACTGCCGATCTATTTATGAATGAAATCTCTATTCCTTATGAGAAAATTGTGCTCTTTCAAGGTTTACGGATGATTTCTTTCACGCGTCTCTTCCACTGGAGCGCATTTACTCGTACGCTCATTACTAGGATTTTATCCCTGTAAACGAAACAATAACTGTATAGTTTCCTTCTCCCTTTCATTGAATTGATTTGTTATGGAATACAATTTATTCAATAGCAATTGTTTGCCCTGTACGAAAATATGAGGGCGAAGTGACCGCAGCCCCATGGATTCATCATTCTCAAAGCGGCCTCTGAAGGGATGCTTCGAAATCGAACAAGTGATAGTTCGCTCCTACGCCCTGCAATATGCAGCGACAGAATTCTCGACACATTTTTAGATATTTTATGAAAACGTCGAAAAAATGATTGGACAATATCTACATACATGTATATACAGAAATACATACATACATAGATACATATATACATACATTACATACGGATGGATTTAACGCTTTTCTCTGGTGATCTGTGCTGTATCGGGTCTGTACTTCATTTTCGTCAGTTCATCCCTTCGGAAAAGAATTTCTCCAGTGGCATCGTCTCCAACCCTCTTATAGGGAACCGCACGTTTATCGGTGGCCAGGTCGAACCTAGAAATGATAACTTTTTACAGATTCAAAAAAAATCAACTCGAAAATGGAAAACTAAAAAAGGGATGTGATGCTCATGAAATTTATGGTGTCGCGCGTAATGATAAGGTAATGTAGTCCCGGTGCTTACCTCGACGCAATCGCATGCACTTTCGGCTGTTTCATGAATCCAGTACGCATCATCTTTTCCCCATGATAGCCAAAGCCTTTCTTTTCGAGGCTGGACTGCCCATCTTCTTCCAACTGGATCGCAACTGGATCAACTCGACCTTGCTGTGAGCGACCCAATCCTGATCCAGGTTTCCATCCCATTCTGAAATCATGACAAATTCAGCAACATTACTTTCCATTGCAAGTCATACGGACAATCAAAAACGACTTTTCGCTTACCTTCCGAGTAATTTACTGCCTATTCCTTTGTTATACTGTTCGATATCCACCACATCTGTATCACTATTGCGACGCTTTCGATTAGATCCGGATGGTTTGGATTTCTTCGTGAAAACAGATTCTTCCAACTTGCCCGACCTAATAGAAGCAAATTTGGACAAACAGGGGGAGTTCTAGAAAGTTCAGAAAAATAAAGGAACACATAAATTGAGAACCGTTTCGCTTCGTCTTCCCTGATCTCAACAGCATCATGAGCATCTTTCGATCCAGCGGACTTGCCCTCGTAATAAACTGAGTAGTCGACATCCCAATCATCCGCCCATGCCCAATCGCAATCCGTTCCTGAACGAGGCAAAAGACACTTCCAAGCGGAACGTTGAGACCACAATCATAACTTGTTTAGAGCCAGTCCATAGAAGCAAAAAAGCGCTAATGGTCAATGATACCGTTCTGAAGCAAGTGGCCCAAAAAAGTTCACCTTCTAGTTTAGAAGGCGAGCATAACAAGGGGCTTAGTTTGACCCACAGTTCAGAAAAAGGATTTCTTATAAAGAACTAAGAAAACGGAAAGGAGGGAAGAGTAGAAAATCGTGAGGGGCTTAAGCTGAACTTCCCTGTTACAGATGCTTTGTATGAGCGGATTCTTGCCGATCCTGTTCAATTGATTAACCGGCCGACTAGGCTCTAGTAGGCCATGCTAACTGAGAGGTACAAACAAAGACATACCTTTCTCCCTTTCATCCCAGTAATTCTTATCGGTGAACCATACCAGTCCTGGTCCGCCCTTCTCCCATGTTACTTCCATTTCTTCTTCATATTTACGCGGTTTGATTCGATCTTGCTCTGTGACATCATCGTGGAGAGCTTCATGTCTGAAATTTATCGGCAATCATCGATAAAGAAAAGTAACCTGCTCAATCCGTTCACAAAACAAAATATTCAGAAGAGAGCAGAAAAATAAAATAAAACATAAAGGAATAAAGTTCCAGGGAGTCAAAGTTCTATTCAAAAACAAAAGCAACCGAGGTAAACAGCCATGACAATTTGTGAAATAATACCTTTCCCATTCTTCGCACTGATCGTCATCATCGTCGGCTCCGCTATCATTGTCAGGTCCGAATTCAGTCTGGATGATTCGATCGGTTGGATCAGATGGCACAGGCTAAATGCAAGGGGAGGTTTGGATATGAACACCATTATACTGAATAGAAGTATACCTTCTCACGAAGCGATTGACTTTCTTCTAGCAGTTGTTTCTCAGTAATGGATCTTCGAAGTGAATCATCTGCAGAGCTTTTATCAACGTTGATATCCACCCCTGAAAAGGTCAGGTTGAATAAGGTATGTATGCTACGACAGATTCACTAGAAAATCTAGACACCTGCTTCTTTTGTGCTTTCGTCGCCTTCTTCTGAGGAGTAATGGAATTCCACAGACTCGTACTTTCTTTTCCTCCGATTTGTTTTTAAACCCAACTTTGGGATAAGAGAAACTGGTAGACGACACAAACGAATCTAAATATGATTCCACATAATAAATTTGAGCTATTCCTTGTTATGCATTTGTCACAGATATTTGTTCTGAATTACCATGATCATACAGACAAATGTTTTAGAATGGTGTAGAATTGATGGTGTCCCTACATTGAATTATACAAAGGGAATTCAGAATCAATACAGTAGAAAAAGTTTTTCACCTGCTCCATGAAGTAACTTGTCGGCGTACCAACGTTGCCATTAGGCATGACCGCTGGTGGGCGAAGTTCAATCAACTGCCGAAGATCAGCTCTCGTCAGCGAATCAGATGTCCCTTCGGAAGCCTGAAGAATCCACGAGATTGTCTTCTAGGTCTCAACCTTGCCGCAGCAGAGTTTCACTTACATTTGCAAGTTTTATAGCAGTAACAAAACAACGACGAGGTATTTCCATTCCTTCATTGTTCATCCAGTGCCGACCATGATAATCACGTATGAATTCACTCCTTAACAATCGAAAGCCGCTAAATATTTAATCGGTGAAAAGCCCTTAATCGGACCTGATAACCCATCTGACTGCGTAAAAAAGCAAGTAAATGAGTGAACTAAAAATAATGACAGAAAAGTGCCACCTAATGGAACGATGTGCAAAAAATACAATGTCAACAAAAAATTATTGAAAACTAACCTCAAAGCAGATGAGGCAAAGCTCACAACACAACAACATGTTGCGGTCTTTTTGTTACCAGTTTCCGCACTTGCTGAAGGCCTCGTTCCCACATCGGTACTCTAAGCAATTTCGTGAATGCCTTACTATGCACTGAATTATAACCAACAGAGTATGCACCTCTTGCTGCAGTTCAGGTCGATGTCTATAGTGAAAACAATGAAATTTCTCGTTTTCTGTAAAATCCGAGAAGTATCGTCGTAAGTCTTTTGATCTCATCCATGACGGTATGTTACGGATAGTGCAATAGAACAATTCTCTTCCTGTAGTATCGTCTATGCCTGAAACTGGACTTAAGTTTACAGAAATTTTTGGAAAAAGGTAAACATAACAGTTCCGTCTACACAATATTTTGCCTAAGAAATCGAATTCCCCTTGATTGGCATTCACTGACTGTCATGTAACAGTTTTGATAGCTCAATTTCAATTTTGTTTTCAAACAGTTGCTTCAGCAGGCCAATTAAAGTTGTTATATGCTAATACTGAAGCATTCACCCCAACTTCATTTCAAACTACCGGAATGGAAATATTTTAGAAGTGAAAACAAAAAAAATTCAAGACAGGGATAAAAAAAATAGAATGGATATTAAGCTCAGCGAAAAAAAAGAAACAAGAATCTTTTTGAAGTGTTGAAGATCAAAACAGTGTTAGGTACTATTCCACTATTACAACCCCAAAAGCTCAAAATTTTAATTTTCGATGAAACTTCGTCTATAGGGGTAATCCGATGCCCTGATAACGAATATGACCTTCATTTTTGGCGCTGGCGCCATTTGGCGCCAAGAGTATTTTCACCAAATTTGCTGAAAACTTGCGTTTAGGGGTTATTTGAGGTCCTGATAACGAATATAACATCCATTTTACGCGCTGAGG